TCCTTCCTCCCTTCCTTCCTTCCTTCCTTCCTTCCTTCCTTCCTTCCTTCCTTCCTTCCTTCCTATTCCTGGTTGCTAAATGAATGACTTTTAGTCACGGACTACTTAAATAATGCATATAGCTTGGAAATATCACTGGACAAAAGAGGAATTCTGGGGAGTAAAAGGACTAGAGAGGAGGTACACCTGTGACATTCTTCCTCAAGACCTTTAACCCAAACGCATCTTTTTCTCAGGATCGAGGGGAGGTTGCATGGGGCTGCGACCCAACCCTGGGTGAATATACTCCTGGCTTTGAGGAGCTGCAAAATGCTGTTTGAGCATCCTTGCGTGCGCCGAAGCGCCCCTTTTGTGTGTGACCCAAAGCACCCCGCAGCCCTCACAACCCCAGAAAGCTTTAAAGTAAGCAGGCAAATCCAGTTGAAAGCAAAACGTCACCAGTTCAACAGTGGAGCAGTTACTAGCACTGATGATATGACCTAGTTTGGCAATGAAACGCCTGGAAGAAAAAACAACCCAGCTCAGGGAGCACCAAGGACCACACAGTCTTCCTCCCCCCCTCCCCCTCCTCCCCATAACCCCCCCACTCTCTTTTCTGTTACTCGTGATATTCCTTAGTTTGGTAACAAAACGCCTGCAAGTACAACCACCAAGCTGAAGGAGCTTCAAAAACCCCCAGGTTATGTTCTTTCTGGTCAACCTGTGGGGAGGGATTTGAACAAGGAGCCAGCCAGGAGATGAAGGAGAAAGGGGAGGTTCTGTCAACCTGCCCACCCCCGATATCAGCAGCTACGGTACCTTTGGACCATTCTATGCCAGAGAAGGAATGGGAGGAGGTCCGGCAGGAGAGGGTCAGGGATTGTCCGATGGCAACTGTCTGATCGGTGAGCTCTTCGGTGAAGGAAGGTCCTGGAAAGGAGAACGGAGAGTTTTGCACCATGGGCTTGTGCGACTACATCGGATGTGTCTCGATTCTGGAAATATACTGATTTCTTCTCTGGGGGAATCCTCCATCCCACTACCGGCCAAGCCCAATTGAACAAAGGAAGCGCGCTTGGACTTTCCAAACAAGTGTCAAAAATTAGGAATGGATTTATTTATTTATGAAAGAAAGCTGGATGTTTTTATGTTTTGTTTGTTTGTTTGTTTTTAAAAACTAATAAAATTGTGGTTTTTTTTAAAAAAAATTAGGAATGGAGTCCAGAAGTATGAGAACCAAAAGAGGAACTTTCTGGCCCCTTTTTTAAGAAGTTGTAGCTAGACTCCTGTAATATTTGCTACATGGGGCGGCCCTTGAAGACTACAGAACTACTTCTGGAGCAAAATGCAATGGACCATGGATTTTTTGGGGGGTTGGTTTTATTATTGCCATTCCTTCTTTCCTTCCTTCCTTTCTTTTTCTTTCCTTACTCCTCCCCTCCCTCCCTCCCTCCCTCCCTCCCTCCCTTCCTTTCTTCCTTTCCTTCCTTCTGGTTTCCTTTTCCTTCCTTCCTATTTCCCCTCCCTCCTTCCCAAATATTTATTTATTATTCAGTGCATTTCTAAAACAAAGACACCCCCTCCCCCCCCACACACACACACACTGTTGGGCATTAATGGCTAAAAATAAATGCAGAGTGCAGAGTTCGAACTCAGGACCCAAATCAGCCCTCCCTCCTCCATTCCGGCCTCTCGAGAACTCTCCTTCCGTCGCCCCTCCCCCCCAGTTGCTATACCTTTGTCCTTAGTCTTGAGGCTGGGCAAGGTGAATGCAGAGAACATCCTTTTCTTTTTGGAAGTTGGGGAAGGCTCTGTCAAAGAGGTCCTCTCAGCTTGCTCACTTTTGACTTCCTCAGAGGCTAGAAAATAGAGGACCACCCAAAAGGTCAGGGATGGAGCAGCCAGGAGATCCGAAGATCCATTCTCTTTTGCAGAAGTTCTCCAAACTTAGCAACTTTGAAGCTTATCAACTTCAATTCCCAGAATTCCTCGGCCCGTCATACTGGCTGGGGAATTCTAAGTTCACAAGTCTTAAAATTACAAAATTTTGGGGACCGCTGCTCTTTTGCACCCCTCTTAACCAGGATGCCCTTCAGAAATATCTAGAGGTACCTTTTAGAAGCTGGATTGAGACCAGAATTGGTAGCTACCTGTCAACCCTTTGAGGAGGATCTTGACACAGATCCCACAAAGATTCCAGAAATGCCACTTTATCGTCGTAGGATGTGACAATATACTCTTAAAAGCATCCCAGGTGATCCCTCTATCCAGAATCCAGCCAGGTTACTTTGAGGTTCTCCTTCATCATTTCTACATTTGACCTATAAATATATTTCCCCTACTACTGAGTTGGCCTATCCTAACATCCATTTCTACACCCAAGATATCTCTACGTCGGTAACGATCCTGAAGGCTTTTCTTTGGCTCATGTCAGCCAAGGAAGATAATCATTACCTGTTCTGGTGTCTTCACTGGAAAGTTTTCTGGTCAACATCTTTGAGAACTGAGCTACGGATGCCTTCATCCTCTTCCCCAGACTGAGTTCCACCTGCTCCATGGATTGAGAGCGGACCATGGGCTTGAAAAGTCCTAAGGCACTCTGGAGAGAACTCTTCCTCTTCCTCTTTGAATCCGAAGGGAGGTCATATTGGGACCCCGTCGGTAGATCACCTTCGGAGTCAGACCTTTTTCCTATCCGAGGTGCTATGGCTGGTTCAGGACCTATCTCCGTTTTGAGGGCATCTGCTTCCTTTTGTCCAGAAGGTTCCTTGAGGTCCGCCTCAGGCAATTTATCCTCCCTGAGACATATTTTTTTCTCCTGCTGAGAAGGGAGTTTGAATCCAGGTGGCCTTTTGGTGGGCAAATTTTCAGGAGCTTTCCTGAAACTCAGGAACTCAAATGGAGAATAGACAATGTCATAGAGTTCGTGGAGGTTGAGGAAAGCTGGTTCCACCTCCGTGATATCAAATTTGGAGGTTTTGCTATCAGGACGCGGCATCTCCGAGAGATCCTGGATCTGCACAAGGGCAATTTCATACATTTGGCTCCTTCCTGGATAATCCGAGCCTTCATAAGAAGAAGACATCCTGGCTTTCTTGTTCAGGTAAAACTGAAGGCTGAAATAGTCTTCTTCTCCAGGATAGATAATATTGGCTTCTGAAGGATCGGCTAGGCCAATGCCTCCTTCTCTCTTGCCTCTGCGCACCAGATACCTACTTTTCGGTCTCACCGCTTGGCCAGGTGACTTTTGATGGGGCATCTCCTCTTGGGGTGATTCTGGCCAAGGAGGTGTTGCTTTCGATCGGTAAGCCATCTTCTCCGCTAAGTTTTCCACAACAGGAGCCTCTGAGTCACCGTAAAGTCTCTGTTCGTGGCTTCTGCCTTCTCCAATGGAATGTGGTCTTTGGATTTGAGTTACGGAGACTTTTTTCCCAGAAGTTGCAAAAGGTCTCGTTTTCGCTTGAGAATAGCCCGCTACAACAGGTGTTCGGCCCTTGAGGGCCTCACCAGGGGCAGATGGCGGGTGGTGGTGGTAGAGCTCATACTTTTCAGCTTCAGAGAAAGACATCAGATCTGCTTGGGTTTGGGGAGCTCGCTGAGCCTCTCTGAGAAGAGATTCTCTTCCTGGGTAAGCAGAGGACTTTGGAAGTGAGGCTACCTGGGTTTCTCCGTGAAGCATGGGTGCTGAGGCAGACCCTGGTTGGGAAGATGCTTGCCTCAGAGCAGCAGCGCTTCTTGGGCTAGTAGGGGATGGTCTTCTGTAAGGAGGAAACTCTCGTTGTGATTGGTGCTGGCTTCCTCCCAGAGCAACTGTCTCTGGATGAGCAGGACCTTCACTTTTTGCAACAGGTAGCTTCCTTTCCAGATGTGCCACGGGCAACTGATGTAAAGGTTTTTGCTTTGCACTCTCGGAGATGGAAGGTGTGGCCATTTTTGCTTGAGGGATGTCCAGCTTCTCCAGATCTTTCTTCTCTAACATGGCTGACTTGGTCAAGTGGGATCCTGAGAGCTTCTGGGATGTACTTTGCCATTCCTCAAGGACAGAGGAGGCGGAACTCTTGTCTGGAGCACCAGCAAGCTGCTTCTCAGTCTGAGCATGAGTGATGTGAAAGGGAACAGCCTTCAGAAGATGAAGACTTTCTCCTTGTTGATGTCCTTCAACACTCTTGGGAGAAGTTGGGGTTGTCTCACGGGATGTTTTTTTCTCCTTGCTATCCCAAGACACCAAATTTGGGGTCTCTGAGGGTGGCACTCTCAAACCAGAGGCTTCCCCTTGTGGAAAAATGGTTCGTCCATCCCTGTAAGGAAAAGACACGGGTATCTGCTCCTCCTCGATGTCATTTTTTGAAGCCAACCCTAAAGCAAAACCAGATTGCTGAGCTTCTAGAATCTGATCTTCTCTGCCTTGAGGAGATATTCCCACTAAACGTGGCACATTCGTTTTCGGCGGCGAATCTTCCACTTTTTCAGAGCCCCGTGCCAAAATCAAGGTCTCCTTGTCCTGCTGAAGGCCCAACTTGGATCTTTCCTTGTCATCCAGCGGGGCTAACTTTGGGTATTCTTCAGAAAAACCATCCCTAGCTTTGGCTGCTGACATTTTTTCGTCCCTCAGATGAGTTCCTTCTGCTGGGCCACCCTGCGGCATGGCATCCAGGTCTTCTTCTGCAATCTCCTGTTCCTCAGCGAAGCTCCCAGCTCTTATTCTGTAGTCATCCAAAGAACGGCTCCTGGCCGATACCTGGAAAGTCACTTTGGGAGATTTCTGAGCAGTATCAAAAGAAGCCGATTTGGTGATTAGGGGTCCATAACTTCCTTCTCGTTCCTTCCCCAATTCTGCGTCCGCCAACGGTCCTCCTTCTCTCCCAAATTCAAACTGTTCTAGTAAGGGTTCCCGCAGGCCAGTTAAAGCGGACTTTGAATATCCAGCTTTCCTGTAAGACCTCTTAGCTCTTTCTAACTGTTTTCTTTGCCCTTTTCCCGGTGAGGAAGGAAAATAGGTCAGATTTTCCGATGGGTGGCTGTAAAAAGTACTTTTGATGACGCTATGTCTCGGGACACAACCTGGAGACCGTTCTATTCTTCCTTCCTCTGGAGGCAACAATCCAGTTTGATCTTGCAACGAAGCCAACTCAAACAGTGTTCTTCCATGGGCGTCACCCTCGGAGATTTCTCGTTCTCGGACAGGATGTCCATCCAACTGTCCCTTCGCTGAAGGCTCCTTCAACCTTCTGGTTTTGACCGGCGGCATGGCGTCTTCAGGAAGTTTGAACTCATCTTCAAATACTTCATCATCTCGACCGTTTGATCTTTCCAGCACAGACAGACGAACCTCCGGAATGGGTCCGAAAGGTTTTTTTCCAGAGGACACCAAAATTTCGTTGTCTGAAGATGACCCACTGGTGCTGGAGGAACTGCTCTCTTCGACCAGTTGCCGGGAGACGCCAAGTGAGGTGTTCTTGTGATGCTTTTCTAGAATTTCTGGGATTGGTCTCATCACAAGCAACGACTTGTAGCTCATAAGAGATCGCTGGACATGAAAGGGATATTAAAACAATGGAAAAGAGAAAACTGAGGCCAGCCCAAACACAATATGATAGAACCTAGAATCATGGGGTTGGAAGGGACCTGGGAGGTCATCTAGTCCAATCCCCTACTCAAGAGAGAGACCTTATACCATTCCAGACAAATGGCTGTCCAATCTATTGATGATGTAGCCCCACATGCTGCAACTATATCATCATGGACAAAATGATGATTTTACTTCAGATAGTTTTGCAAAAAAAATCTGCAAGATACGTAGTTGTTGACTTACAACTATTCATTTAGTGACCGTTTGGTATTGCAACAGTCCAGAAAAAGGTGACTTATGACCATTTTTCACACTTATAACCGTTGCAGCATTCCCATGGTCCCTTGATCCAAATTCAGACACTTGGGCAACTGACTCATATTTATGACGGTCGCAGTGTCCCGGGGTCATGTGATCCCCTTTTTTGTGGCTTTCTGACAAGCAAAGTCAATGGGGAAGCCAGATTCACTTAACAACCGTGTTACTAACTTAACAACGACAGTGATTATTTAGCCTCTGTGGCCACAATGATCGTAGAGTTGGGCAAAACTCACTTAACTGTCTCGCTTAGCAACATAAATTTTGGGCTCAATTGTGGTCATAAGTTGAGGATTTTCTGTACTCTTACATTTCTTTACAAAGTCACTGTAAGTCAGGAGTTAATAGGAAACCCCATTTAATTTTTGCAATCTATTTTTGAGAGTTGTTTCATGTGTTAAAAAAAGATGTAATTTTCAAAGATGGCTAGCAGATACAGATAATCCTCGACTTACGGTCATTTGTTTAGGGTTTCAAAGTTGCAGTAGCACTGAAAAAAATTATTTGTGACCGTTTTTCACACCTATAGCTGATGCAGGTCACATGATCCAAATTCGGGCGCTTGGCAACTGAGCGGTCATCTTTATGACCGTTTCAGTGTCCTGGGGTCACATGATCCCCGTTTTGTGACCTCTGACAAGCAAAGTCAATTGGGAAGCCAGATTCCCTTCACAACTGTGTAACTAACTTAACAACTGCAGTGATTCACTTAACAACTGTGGCAAGGAAATTCGCAAAATGGGGCAGAATTCACATCACAAGTGTCTGTCTTAGCAATGGAAGTTTTGATCGTAAGTTGAGGACTACTTATATTAACGAGAAGGGCAGTAGAGAAATCCAATCATAAAAACAAAGAAATAGCAACTCTTTAGAAGCCATGCTTCTTCTCAGCCTTAACAATATTAAAGATATCTGGACTTCAACCCACCCAGAATTCTGCAGTCAACCATGCTGGCTGGGGAATTCTGGGAGTTGAAGTCCACATGTCTTAAAGTTGCCAAAGTTGAGAAATGTAACCTTGGGACTTGCTGTTCATACAGGAACATGGGACAAGGAACCTTGGAACCATATTTAAGCCATTTAAATATGCATTTAAAATCTAAGTTATTTTCTTCCCAAGTTTGCCAGGAATAAACAGATATACAATATATCTGTATTGGATATATTCAGTCTCTAAAATAAAAATTGTAAATGGGCATAACAGTGCATATGATGGATCCCAGAACACCGACACTAGTGAAGCCAAAATAACTGCACATCGGGGTAGAGCTGTTTACTAACCTGCCATTTGCTTCGGGATACAAAAAAGTTGAGCGGTTTTGTCTCAATAAAATGAGCCTCTTCAGATGGGGGTTTGTGCTGAAAAGGAATATATATCCGTTTGAAAATAAATTCCGTGTCATATCTTCAAACACCCAGCAAATATCCCAATTGATTTGAAAACCAGAGCTTCTAGTATTTGTCTGGAATTGTTCATTTCTTAAAAAAAAAAAAAAAAAAACAAGCCACCAGGTCAAAAAACAGCACTGTTCCTTTAAATTCTTGCTGTAAATTACACATTTTGGGAGAAGCCTTCACTTTGACATAGATCGTCTTAGCAAAGGTATCCTCCAAATTGAGGAGGTTAAAAAATTAATTTGGGAATTGCAACTGTGCAATCAGAGCCCTGGGCTGCCACCTTGAGTTTTTTTTTTTAATCTCACCACCCTCACAGTCATCCCTGCAATCCAGATTGTGGGGAAAGGGGCCTAAGAATCCAAATTCGATTCTTCCAGTCCTTCAACAGCAATCAAAACTTACAGAAAACCAGGGATGAGAGAGGCATTCCATCGCACTTGGCCTGGTTCTGTAAAGAGAAACAATAAACCAGGTTCTACTTGATACGTCAAGGAACAGCTATGTATTCAAAGAATGTTTCAACGACTCTGATGTCTCTGGAAAGAACTGATTTCGAACAGAAAGGTTTAATATGGTAACTGGCAAAGGTCTCATGAGGCTGTGTGAATTCAGGCTAGGATCACCAGCACTCTGTTTATTCTCTGAAATCTCTTATTTGGCAGCGTTTGCCATCCACCAATGTATGCCTTGATCTGTTCCACTTTTGGAACTAATTGTCCGCTTCTAAAAGATATTTCACACTTTTCAAATTTTTAAATCTTAAATGATTCCGTTTTTAATGTTTTATTCTATTGATTAAACTGTATACTGTCCAGAACTGTGAGTTTAAATAAGGTTTGATATATCAGCCAATCAACCAATCATATAGGTTTACAAATTTCAAGAATTTTCTAGGATAATGGACTTTGGAGAAGCAGTATAGGAAGAGCATGGGTGAGAATATTTGTAGCTCAGGGTTGAACCGTGGAGTTGTTGGTGCACTCTGAGGTTGGTGATTTTCTTGTGGACATTTCATGACTCAGCTAAGTAACAACATCAGTGCTAGAAGGGAGTGGGGTTGGAGGAGGAGGAGGAGGAGGAGGAGGAGGAGGAGGAGGGAGGAGGAGGAGGAGGAGGACGACAACAACAGTGGGGTCCTTGGTGCTCTCTGAGCTTGGTTGTTTTCTTGCAGACATTTCATGATCCAGCTAGGGAACATCATCAGAAGGGAGCGAGGAGGAAGAGGAAGAAGGAGAAGAAGGAAGGAAGGAGGAGCAGGAAGAGGACTGTTGGTGCTCTCTGAGCTTGGATGGTTTTCTTGCAGACGTTTCATGACCTAACTAGGGAACATCATCAGTGTTGGAAGGGAGGAGAGCTTGGTGTGGGGAGGAAGGGGAGAAGGATTGTGGGGTCCTTGGTGCTCTCTGAGTTTGGAGGTTTCCTTGCAGACATTCCATGACCCAACATCATCAGTGCCAGAAGCGAGTGGGGTTTGCTCTCGTTTTATATAATAGCACCTATAACAGCACCCAACTCAGTGATGGAGTAAACAATTGTCCAATCAAGGAACCCTCAAGGCTACTCCCATCAAGACTGACAGGGCAAGGTGCTATTATATAAAACGAGAGCCAACCCTACTCGCTTCTGGCACTGGTGATTTGTTTATTTATTGGAATTTGTCAAAAAAAAGAAGAGAACAAGAATAATAGAATAAAAATACAACGACACAGACAACAGGCACGTCTTTAGTGCACTTATGCACGCGCCCCCCCTCTAATAACCACTTAAGTATGAAGTACGGTCCACAGAAGTCCATTTGTGACTGAAATTGTGATTACTGGTAGCTGAGACAACTGAGTCGGGTAGGGCATTCCAGACTTTGACAGGATGTTCCCTAGTTGTGTCAGGAAACGCCTGTAAGGAAATAACCAAGCTCAGAGAGCACTGACCAAGCACAATCCTCCTTCTTCCCACAAGCATTATTTCCTTCTAGCACCGATGATGTTCCCTAGTTGTGTCAGGAAACGTCTGCAAGGAAACCTTCAAGCTCAGAGAGCACCAAGGACATCAGAGACTGCTGGCTTTTCCAGAGCCCCCCTGCCCCTCAGAGCTGTCCCTCTTCTAATATCCTGAAGAAAAGACTTCATATTTTAGGACTACCTCTCCTTCCTACGCTCTCTCTCTGAAATGAAGATGAGAAGTGTATATACACCCACTTACCCAGGAGCTGGTTGAAGGATTTTTTCAATAAAATCCTTGGCTTCTTTGCTCAGATGATCCCAATCAGAGCTTTTCCATGCAACGATCCCATTCTGGACGTTAAGCAGGGTCGCACGGTCATTTTCCCCAGCAAAGGGAGACTTGCAGGTCAAGCTGATCATTAAAAAAAAAAAAAAGACAAAATTTTAAAATGTTTGTATGGTCATGAACCAATCTGCAAAGAAAAGGCAGAGGATGGCCTTTTGTTGGTGATAAGATCTACAGGTAATCCTCAACTTACAGCCATTTGTTTAGTGACTGTTTAATGTTGTGACGGCACTTAAAAAGTGACTTAGGACCGTTTTTCACATTTACAACCATTGCATCATTCCCACGGTCACCTGATCAACATTCAGATACTTGGCAACTGGCTCATATTTATGGTGGTTGCAGTGTCCTGGGCAGGGTCATGTGATCCCATTTTGCAACTTCTGACAAACAAAGTCAATGGGGAAGCCAGATTCGCCTAAAAAATGTGTTACGAACAACTGCAGGGATTCACTTAACAACTGTGGCAAGAAAGATTGTAAAATGAAGCAAAACCCATTTAACAACTGTCTTGCTTAGCCATTTAAATGCTGGGCTCAATCGGGGTCATAGGAATTGTGTGTAATATGATAAAGTCCCCTATGCTTACCTTAAATAGCTAATAACGCCAACTGGCCTGTAAGAAAAGAAACAAATATGAGGAAAGAATCTCAGCTCCCGTAAAGCCTTGATAGACCAACCTTCCCTGGTTCTGGTGCCCTGAAACAGAATTTCTCAACTTGACAAATTTAAGATGGGTGGCCAGAATTCCCAAGCCAGCATCTTCAAGTTGGCAACGTTGAGGAATCCTACCATGAAGGATGAGCCGGTTTCTTCTATTGTCAGAAGAATCTTCCATTGTTCCTTCATTTCTCAACGATACGGAGCCATGAACCAGTAAATTCTGGAGATCAATTCCGAAACACAAAAGATTAGAACGTAGAACAGTGATGGAAGGGACTTCTGAGGTCTTCTAGTCCAACCCCTTGTCCAAGGCAGACCTTATATAATCCTGGTCAAACAGTTGTCCAGTCTCTTCTTGAAAACCTCCAGTCATGGAGCATCCACAACTTCTGGAGGCAGGTCGTTCCACTGGATAATTCTTTTCGCTCCCAGGAAATTTCTTCTTATTTCCAAGTTAGACCTTCCTCGGATGAGCTTCCACCCACTACTTTTTATGACCTCTGGTGTTTTGGGTAATCGATTGATTCCCCTCTTCTCTGTGACAAGTATTGGAAGAAAGTTATAATTTCTTCCCTGGTTCTTTTCTTCAATAAACTAGACATACCTAGGTCATTCAAACACTTAGCATCTAGAGTCGAATCTTCATCATCTTCGTTGCTCTCCTCTGCGCTCTTTCTGGGGCCTCAACATCCCCCTTTGTATCATGGGGAGCACCACAGGATACATTATTCCAAGTGTGGCCTCACCAATGCAGTATAAAGCGATACCGTCATTTCTCCTGATCTTGATGCTATCCGTCTGTTGATGCACCTCAGGGCTGCGTTGGTCCTTTGGGCAGCTACAAGGCATCGTTGGGTCACTCTTAAGTGGTTGTCCACTGGTACGCCTAGATCAGTCTCACAGTTGCAACTATTGACTCTATGGGTTCTATAACTGCATTTAATTCTTCCTGCCTAAATGCAGGAAGGACTTTCCTCACCACCGAAACTGCACCTTGTTAGGTAGAACCCAACGTTCAAGTCTGAAGTTTCTTGGAAGTGCGGATAATCAGTGGAATGACTTGCTTTCAGGGGCTGTGGATGCTCCAACACTGGAGGTTCTTAAGAAGAGATTGGACAACCATTTGCCTGAAAAGGTGTTTCCTACTTAAATCTGTTATTCTGTTCTGTTATTGCTTTTCTAGATCTTTAGCCTATCTTCTAAACGTGTTGGTTGTTCTTTTTAGTTTGCTATCATCTTCTCTTTCTATCCCCTCATCTAGATCATTTATGAAGATGTTGAAGAATAGTGGGCCCAAGACTGAACCTTGTGACACCCCACTGCTTACTTCCCTCCATATAGTCGTATTCCATCGAAAACTACACACTGAGTGTGGTTGGGCAGCCAGTTTTGAATCCATCTGGTGATGATGCTATCTATCCCATTGTTCTAGATTATGTAGATTATGGTCTATTTCATTAAAAGCACATCCACAGCATTTTGCAGGTCTACTAATTTAGAGTTAACCTTCTTGGTTTTCCACTGATCTTCAAGAAGGCTCACCAAACGCAGTGAGGAAGGTTGGAGTAAAACTACAAGGAACGAGAAGGGAGAGGATTTCTTTACCAGATGTCCGAGGCCGTTGACACTGGAGACCTGGACAGTACTTCTGGTGGGACAAATTCTGGAGATCCATAAGTGCTGTGCTGAGGCTGTGATGGATTTATCCTTTGGGCAAAGCCAAAATCACAGATCTTAATGTCATCCCTGTCGGGGTGGACCAGCAAAATGTTTGAAGGCTGTAGAAGAAAAGGATAAAGAAGAAACATCAGTATGGAAAAGAATTGAGGGATAAAACCTGTCGGCAAAAAGAGAACTCAAACTGGTTTTCCTTGCTGAAATTCTGAGGTACAAGTACTCCACTTACAACCACAATTGAACCCAAATTTTTTGTGGCTGAGACATTTGATAAGCGGGTTCTGCCTGTTTTATAACATTTCTTGCCACAGTTGTTAAATGAATCCCTGAAGTGGTTAAGTGAGTAACACGGTTGTGAAGTGACTCTGGCTTCTCTATTGATTTTGCTTGTCGGTTGCAAAATGGGATCACGTGACTCCTGGAAACTGCAACCATCATAAGTATGAGCCAGTTGCCAATTTTAATCACATGACCATGGGGATGCTTCAACACTCGTAAGGGTGACAAATGATTATAAATTATTTTTTTCAGTGCCGTTGTAACTCTGAATGGTTATTAAATGTTGTAAGTTGAGGGCTACCTGTACTTCAGAAGGCCCGATTCTGCTCAAGCACCACAATATCAATAGTAGAGACCTCCAAGTTTCTAGGTTCTATAATATCTCAGGACTTAAAATGGACACTTAGCGTCAAAAACATCATTTAAAAAAAGCACAGCAAAGAACGTTCTTTCTGCGCCAACTCAGAAAACTCAAATTGCCCAAGGAGCTGCTGATATATAAAATAAAAACTCTGTGGTTTCTTCCCCAAACCCCAAAAACTTTAACCTTAGACTGTCTACTATTGACCTCACCCCTTTCCTAAGAGGTCTGTAGGGGGCGTGCATAAGCGCACCAACGTGCCTACCGTCCCTGTCCTATTGTTTCTTTTATTTTTCTTAGACGTACCCATTTCATGTATTCATATATACTTATACCTATTATCTTGTAAACAATTGACAAAAATAAATAAAATAAAATAAAAATACAGTTCTACAGGGGAATTACCGAGTCTGTCATTTGCACCTCGATAATTGTCTGGTTTGGCACAGCAACCAAGAGAACAGACTTCAAAGAACAGTTAGGACCGTAGGCTAAACAAACGAACAAACAATGGCAAACAGCCTGCCTTCCATTGAGGACCTATATACTGCAGGGGTTAGAAAGAGGGCTGAGAAAGTATCTATAGACCCTCACATCCTGGACATAAATTGTTTCAACTCTTTGCTCAAGACAATGCTATAGAGCACTGCACAGCAGAACAGACACAAAGACATTTCCTCCCCATCTCCCATGCTATCACTCTGCTAAACAACTAATTCCCACAGCTCTGTCTTATGACCAAGATGCTAGGATATTAAACCACGTAGCAGGTCTGCATTACTTACTATCCTTCTCATCTGTCCTATTAGCTATCCCTTTAACATCTGATGACTATCACTTTGCTGTTTGTATCTTATGATTTATGTTGATTGCTTTTATTTAGTAACCTAATGATTTGTCTTGATTGCTTTAGTATGCGATGACTATCCCTGAGTGTTGTATCCAGGGGTGGGCTACTACCAATTTGCACCGGTTCGAGCGAGCAGGCTGTTAATTTTACGGCTAGTTCGGCAAACCGGCAAATTCAACCCCCGCCTGGCCCTGCCCACCCCACCCTCCCAGGACCGCCCAGGCGGCCCATTTTGGATTGCAGGTAAGTTCAGAGGCCATGTGGAGGCTCAGGGTGGGCAAAAAACAGGCCTCTTGGAAGTTCCAGAAGGCCGGAAATCGGCCAGTTTCCAGCCTCCAAAGAGGCTCCGGAGCCCAGGGAGCCCGTTTTCGCTCAAGGGAAGCCTCCAGAGACAGGGAGAGTGAAAACACCCCCCCCCCCGCCACACCTTGGTGCAGGAGGCCGACTAGGCCACACCCACTCGGCAACTGGGCAGAGAACTGGTTGTTAAATTTTTTGAAGCCCACCCCTTGTCGTATCTATGATTTACGATGATTGTATTTTATGATTATAATAAGTGCTTGTATGTACACTGTGAGCTTATGCACTGGAGACAAATTCTTGGCCAAGAAAGAATGTTCTATTCTATTCTATTTCTCCTTGTGGTCCATTGGAGATTGCAGAGATGGAAGGAGAGATGGTGGGAACTGACCAGAAGAAGGAATAGAGAGAATTGGCCAAGAAAGAAGACATGGCTCTTAGCTTCATTCCTTCATTCCAGCTCAGCCTAACTGGGGAGAAATGGGGGAGGAAGAATTTATTATTGTTGTAATTATTAATTATTCATTATCAATTATCAAGTCTTATACACCAAAATGACAGTATACACAGCAGACAAGATAACCATACTGGGTTTCGTATCACAAATCACTAGTCGAACGCTTCCCAAGTGTTTAGGACTGCGTGATATATCGGCGGATTATGCGAGCAGATCCCAGTAAGGTGGCCTTCTGCAGCTGACCAGTGGTGATCTTGTCAGCGCCAATTGTCTTTAAGTGCTTGCCTAGGTCTTTAGGCACAGCACCCAGTGTGCCCAGTACCCCTGGAACCACCTGCACTGGTTTATCCCGGAGTCTCTGCAGTTTGATTCTCAAGTCCTGATATCTGGTGACTTTTTCAAGTTGTTTCTCGCCAATTCTGCTGTCACCAGGTATGGCAATGTCAACGATCCACGCTTTTTTCCTCTCCACAAACATGATATCCGGGGTATTGTGTTCCAAAACTTTGTCACTGTTTTCGGAAGTCCCACAGTAGTTGCTTTTTATTTTTATTTTTATTTTATTTTATTTATTATTGTTGTTGTTTTTGTTGTTGTCATTGTTGTTGTTTTACTTTAATTTTGTCTTGTTTTTTTCTTTTAAATTTTATATTTTATCTTATATCCTGCCTTTATTATTTTTACAAATAACTGAAGATGGTGAACACATCCAACACACCTTCTTTATCCTAACTTCCCCACAACAACAACCCTGTGAGCTGGGTTGGGCTAAGAGTGATAGGCCAAAAATCACCCAGCCAGCTTTCACACCTAGGGCAGAACTAGAACTCAACATCTCTTGATGATTGGCCTAAAACCATCCAGTGGCTTTCATACCTAAGGCAGGGCTAGAACTCAATGTCTCCTGGTGATTGGCCCAAAGTCAGCCAGCTGGCTTTCATGCCTAAAATGGGACTAGATATTAGATAGGTGCAAGCTTCCAATTTTCATAAAAGTTACCTTGATGTCCAAATGTAATATTTCATTGCTGTGAAGATACAGGATGCCTTCTAGAAGTTGCTTGATGTAGAATTTGACCTATTTCAGAAAGGGGAAAACGAAGTTATTCAGGTCACATTAAAAAAAAGTCTGTAGAGATTCTCAGTCATCCAGATCATGGTTGCCCCAAGTTGCTTGGGAGAAAAGTTAAACACAGATCCTTCTAGCACTGATCGTGTTACCTAGTTTGGTCATGAAATGTCTGCAAGAAAACCAACAAGCTCAGTGAGCATCAAGGACCCCACAATTCAACTCTGAGCTACAAATAATCAGTATTGAGAATTATATTTGGGCTGGCTGGAGATAACGGAAGTTGAGTCTATAATACCAGAAAGAAATGAGCTGGGGAAGGAATTCAACTGAATTCAACTATCCTTGTTTGTCTTAAAATATTTGGTCCTTTCCCTAAAATACAGCGGGGAAGGATTCTCACCTCTGCTTCTGTCACCTTGTTCTTCTTGTACAGTCGGTCCAGAAGGTCTTCATTGGAACATCTAATCCGTTAAGGAATGTGGACCAAGCCATTGAAAGGGTTAAACAACTAAATGTAGATTGTTTTCAAAGAATCCTCCAACAATTAACTCTCTCCATCTGCCCAAATGATTCAAACCAAGAAAGAGGGACTGGCCCAAGACATTTGACACCCCTGTGGTTGCAAGATGGGACTTGATGAACTGATAGAAGAGAATACCTGTAGCTCAGGGTTGAACTGTTGGTTCTTTGATGCTCTTTGTGCCTGGTGGTGTTCTTGCAGAAAACCACCTTCGGTTCTACAGTGGAGTCGGAATCTAATGTCAGCAATGATGATGTTGCCTAGTTTGGTAATGAAACGCCTATCAGAATACTACCAACCTTGGAGAGCACCAAGGACCCCACAGTTCCTCTCCTTTTCCTTCTCCTTTCCATAAACCCCGCTCTCTTCTAGCACTGATGATGTTCCCTAGCTAGATCATGAAATGTCTCCAAGAAAACTAACAAGCTCAGAGAGCACCAAGCAAGGACCCCTCCTCCTCCTCCTCCTCCTCCTCCTCCTCCTCCTCCTCCTCCTCCTCTTCTCCACAGCTCTCTTCCTGCTAGTGCTGATGATGTTCCTTAGTTGGGTCATGAAATGTTTCCAAGAAAACTAACAAGCTCAGAGAGCACCAAGCAAGGACCTCTCCTCCTCCTCCTCCTCCTCCTCCTCCTCCTCTCCACAGCTCTCTCCCTGCTAGTGCTGATGATGTCCCTTAGCTGGGTCATGAAATGTGTTCAAGAAAGCCACCACCTCAGGGAACACCGAGGATCCTATTATTCAATGCTGAGCTACAAATATTCTCTTCTATCAGCTTATACCGTACTGAGAAACAGGCATGTGGGAAAGAAATTCAAAACAAGGCTACTTCGATGGTTTTAAGATGGGATAGAAACCAACTTGGAGAAGCTTTCAAGATGGTTACAAACGGCAAAGGAGCATTGGTGGTGCCTGTTTTTTGACCTAGCCCACCATGGCAAGGAATAAGCACTGAGGACTAGTGCCTCAACACCATCTCCTTTCATATCTTTCTTTATTACTCTTTTCAGGGGCAAAAAGGATACAGTTCCAAAATAAGAATTAAGGTTTTCCGTGTTTCAAACTGGTCCAGCAGTTGAGTAATTCGATCGTGGGAAAGTTGCACTAGAATATCTCTCTCCCGATAAGCCTGTTCTCTCGTTCGACTTCGCAACGGGATGAATTTTGCTGCACAAGCCACACGGTTGGCTTTATGGATGACTCTCTTGAGAATGCTGAAGGAGCCCCTGAGAACCATTAAATATTCAGAGAATAAAGTTTGGGCAAAAAGTGTCATATTAGTGTCATATTTTCCACCAAAATAATAGTGGATGCTAAGGGGGAAAAAAATCATTTTTACCTTCCTATTTCCTGTTTAACCTCGTAGAAAGAATGAAGTTTCCTTCGTGGGCTTCGCTTCTTCGCCTCTTGACTTTTCTTGTCTACAATAATCAGAATAAGAATCAAAGTGGCCACAATGACAGAAAAGCTATTTGGCTTCCAATCAAGAACTGGTGGGACCATCAAACACAGGTAGTCCTCGGCTTACGACCACAATGGACCCCCAAATTTCTGTTGCTAAGCAGACAGTTGTAAAGTGAGTTTTGTGCCTTTTTGCAACCTTCCTTGCCATACTTGTTAAGTGAATCACTGCAGGTGTTAAGTTAGCGACCCGGTCGTTAAGCAAACCTGGCTTTCCTGTTGACATTTCTTTTCAGGAGGCCACAAAAGGGGGATCAAATGACCCTGGGGCAACCATCGTAAATACAAGTCAATATTTCTTAGCAACTGACTCATAATATGAAATAAGAAAGATGAAATTAGTCAGTGGAAGCAAAAGGTTTTCAAAGGAAAAAAAAACCCCAAGAAAATCCAACTGCTTTTTGGAAAAAGCACCTTTGGGAGAACTGGGCGATGGAGAATCTACACAGACCACAGACAAAATACAAAGAGCTGTCTGTAAGGGGCCATGGAGATCTTCTAGCCTAACCCCCTTCCCAGGCTGGAGCCTCTACCCTAGGCCAGGCAAACGGCAGCCTCTTCTCCTCCAGGGATGGCACACTCAACAGCTGTTCCATTAATTGCTGTCTAGACAGGATCTTTCTTTGATAAGTTTCAACCCTTTCTTTTCCCCCTGACCTCGGGTGCTTTGGAGAATAGATTGATCCCCGTCTTCTCTGTGACGGTCCCTAAATATTGCCTCCCCCCAAATCCTTCTCTTCTTTAAATTAGTACCCTCATTCGTCCACTGTACAGTTTAGCCTCCAGAGAGAAAGAAGGAAGGGAGGGAGGAGGGAAGGAGGGAGGGAGGGTGGGATGGAGGGAATGAAGGAAAATAAAGAATAAATGAGAAGAAAAGCCACCAAGCCAACATACCTTCCTGCACCACCAGCTCCGCTTTGCAGACCACCTCCCCTCCAGCGTTTTTAGCCATGCAGGTGTAGACCCCTCCATCTTCGGCCCGAGTGTTGTAGAGGATCAGAGAGTAGCTCGTGTTTTCGTTGGACTGGTAGATCCTTTCGCTGTCCAGCAACAAGGAAATTCCCTAGAAGGAAACGAGGGAAGCAGGTAAAATAAGGTAGATAGCCGCAATTTTAGCCCTTCACCTGGGCCTCAGGTAGGGGTAGCCCCATCTAAGCTCTTGGTTTAAGAATATATATCTGGGGAAGGCTTGCACCAAGATAGGAAGAAGGACTTATGACGCAATATTTATAAACTGAGGTAGTCTTCGACTTACAGCGGTTCCTTTAATGAGAGTTCAACGTTACAACAGCACTAAAAAAAGGGGGACTTAGGGCTGTTTTTCACATTTATGACCATCGCATCATCCCCATGGTCATATGATCAAAATTCAGATGCGGGGGAAATGACTCATATTTATGACGGTTGCGGTGTTCCCAGGGCCACGTGATCCCTTTTTGCAACCTTCCCGTAAGCGAAGTCAGTGGGGAATCCAGATCCAGTTAATAGACGTGTTACTGGCTTAACAACTGCAGTGATTCACTCTACAACTGTGACAAGAAAGCAGGTAAAATGGGTCACAATTCATTTAACAACGGTCTCTCTTGGCAACAGAAATCTCCGGCTCAGTTGCAGTTATAAGTCAAGGACTCTCTGTATTATAATATTTACGACGGTTGCAGTGTCCCGGGGTCTTGGGATCCCCTTTTGCTGCCTTCTGCAAAAGTCAGTGGAGGGAGCCAGATTCACTTAACAACCATGCGACTAACTTAACTTCAAGGATTCGCTTAACAGGCATGGCAAGAAAAATTTGCAATATGGAGCAAAATTCACTTAATAACTGCCTCGTTTAGTAACAGAAATTTGGGGGTCAATTGTAACCGTAAGTTGAGGACTACCTGTAATTACTTTTTTTTCTAAATCCACACAGCATATATATTTTTCTATCAACAAAGGGGTCTGTAGCAGAGGTGGATATTCAGAAGGTTCTGACCAGTTCTGGAGAACTGGTAGCAGAAATGTGGAGTGGTTGAAAAACCAGCCAATCCCGCCTCTGACTGACCCCGCCAACCCCATCTCCTCTCTGCCTCCCATTGAGTCCCATCTGATCGGCTGGGTCTCCTTTGGTTGCCCTGCACAGGAGAACAGAGCTGTAAAGCAGGTTAGTGGGGTGGGGAGGGAAGGGGGATTTTGTAGTATCCTTCCCCTGCCACGCCCACCAAGCCACGCCCACCAAGCCACACCCACAGCAAAAAAAAATTTGAATCCTACCACTGGTCTGTAGCCATTTCTTTTTTTAATTTCCACCCAGGTTTGGGGATGTTTCTGACGTACCTTGAACCATCCGACAACCGGCTGAGGATTGCCTTCAATGATGGCTTGGAACTTGGCCATTTCCCCACACCGAACCTGGACATCCTCAAGGGGCACCTGCATGTAGGGTGGACCTAAATAAAAGAAAAATACGAAGTGTAGTTGGGCAGATCTAGCGCCTGGGTTATTTTCCTGCAGATGTTTCATGACCCGACTAAGCAACGTCATCATTGCTCGATGGGAGTGGGGTGTGCTCTCTCAGTGTTTTAAGTAGAACTATTCTATTTTTCAGAAGGAGAAAGGAGAAAGCAATCAGAGTCGTGATAAGACTTGTACCCATGAACTGTTTAAACAAGGTTTGGGTTCGCGGGGCCCTTCTTGTGTCTATATCTGTGGGGTCCTTGGTGCTCCCTGGGCTTGGTGGTTTTCTTGCAGAATGGAGAGGGGCTTGTAGAAAGGGAGGGAAGGAGAAAGAGGAGCTGGAGGAAGAAGAGGAAGGGGAAGGGGAAGGAGAGGGAGAGGAGGAGGACAGGAGGGGAGGAAGGAAGGGACTACAACAACTGTGGATGCTCTCTGAGCTTAGTGGTTTTCTTGCACGCCTTTCTTGACCCAACTACCTAACGTCATCAATGCTAGAAGGGAGGATGGGGTGGTGGAGAGGAGCGGGAGGGGGAGGAGAAGGAGGAAATGGGTAGATGGTGCCTTTCATGTTCTCTGAGTTTGGTTGTTTTGATGCAGACATTTCATAACCCAAATATGTAACATCATCAGTGCTGGGTGGGAGAAGGGTTTGCTCTTATATAATAGACTAGCGGACTATTGAAAAGAGGAAAATTGTCTCAATCTTCTTCCGCCACGTATTTGTCCATGCATGCGTTATCCAGTCTGCAACCTTCATTTACCGTATTTCCCCATGTATAAGCACCCCCTTTGTATAAGCCACCCCCCCAATTTTTGGACTGTGAAGTTTTGAAAAAAATATTTTATTAGAGAAACAAGTTATGAAGAAAGAAAATTTACAAAGAAACAAAATTCGACGTCTAGATCTACAACTTCGGTCATGACGCCGAAAGCGGTGCGGGCGACGCTAGCAATCTACGCATCGGAACGAGAGTAGGAACGAAGCATTCAGGCCGATGCCTAGCGTATGCATTTCTATCGCGTACTCGCACTCGTAATCGTATCGTCACTTACAATTTTTACAAAAAAGTATAGCATACTGCTGGAAAATCAGTTTATTCCTACTTTATTATTTTATGCATTTTTCACGTATAAAAAGTGTACCTGCTTTGTATATGCCACCCCCCTACTTTTTGGGCTTGAAAATTTTGGAAAAAAGGGGTGGCTTATACATGGGGAAATACGGTATTCAACTCCAACGTTAAAAGGCTTGTATTGCTCCGGATTCCTCCGCATCTGCAATAAGGTGGTTTATCTCATTGCACAGATGCTGTTTTGTGTCTTTCATTTGTGTCCTTGATTTCAAAATGCAGCACAACCCACACTTTCCCCCTCCCTTCACGGGTGATAATGGGGGGGGGGTTAGAACTAGGTAGCCCTATAATCTTGAAGATCTGAATAGCTAGAAACACAGTTCAACCTAGCCTTGAAACTTCGTTTTGTTTTGGTCCACATGGAGTCATAGAACGTAGAATATTATTGTTGAAAGGGACCCTGGAGATCATCTAGTCCAACCCCCCTCACCTTGAGGCCACGTCAACAGATAAGAATCTCTTACTTGTGACGCCCTTTTCGCCTTTTTTATCCACACAGGTTCTCTCTGCGATGCCCTCAGTGGCTTCCCTGGCTAAATCCAAAACGTTCTCTGCTCCTTCATTCCTGAACCACGGCACCTCTGCCATCATTTCGAAGACCCTTGACAAATGAAACCAAGAAGCAGAATTATGACCAGGAATGAGGAGATGAAACAATCAAACTTCAGAGACAGGTAACCCCTGACTTACAACTAAAATGGAGCCCAAAATTTCCATTGCTGAGCGAAACTGTTGTTAAGTGAGTTTTATCCCCATTTTCTTGCCACAGTTGGTAATGTGGTTGTTAAGCGAATCTGGCTTCCCCATTGACTTTACTTGTCACAAGATTGCAAAAGGGATCGCCTGACCCCCGGAATTCTGCAACCGTCACACCTGTGAGTCAGTTGCCTCATGTCTTAATTTTGAATACCTGACCATGGGGATGCCATAATGGTTGTAATTGTGAAAAACGGTCATAAGTCACTTTTTTCAGTGCCTTTGTAACTTCGAACAGTCACTAAATGAACGGTTGCAAATCAAGGACTACTTGTAGGTTTAAAGAAATTCAACAAACTTACTTGGCAGAGAGAATAGCACATTCAGACACACTTTTGTCTTGGGGAATGATGTTTATTTCCCTGGTCAATGTGTCACTTTCTCCGGTTTTGCCAGCAGGCGCTTGCAGTTCTGATAGTCACAAAAATAGAAATATTTAGATTAGTTGCTGCTAGAAATAAAGTGTTTTATCGGTTACTATCGCAACCCTGCAGGAAAATACTGCACTCTTTTTAAACTTAACACTGCTAATGTTTGTACTCTTTTGTTCACTTTTTAAAAAATCAGTGTTTTCTCTTATTTCAGTCTTAAATTCTATGGAATTTGCATTTTTATGATCTTTTATTTCTTTTTAATTGCTTATTTGCTGATAAATAGATTAAAACAGTGCCGCAGACCAAACCTGTCTTTAAAAAAAGCACAAAATCTAGCTGGGTGACTTTGGGCCAATCACCAGGAGATTTTGAGTTCTAGTCTTGCCTTAGCCATGGAAGTTTGTACGGTGACCTTGGGTCAGCCCCTCTCTCTCAACGCAGCCCACCTCACAAGATACTTGTGATGGAAAAAACAGGAGGCAGGACTATAAAATATGTTCGCCATCTTGAGTTATTGGGATACAAATAAATAATGAGAAGGAAGGAAGGAAGGAAGGAAGGAAGGAAGGAAGGAAGGAAGGAAGGGAGGGAGGGAGGGAGGGAGGGAGGAAGGAAGGAAGGAAGGAAGGAAGGAAGGAAGGAAGGAAGGAAGGAAGGAAGGAAGGAAGGAAGGGAGGGATGGCTTTTTTTTAACCATTTTCCATTTGACAAGAAATATTGTGTATATCATCTGCTGTTTAGCTGTAACCATCGCCATTGAAAAAATAATGTCCACTTTTGCTCCATCTACCATATTCAATTGCATGTGGGGGTAAAAAGTTGTGCCCCCAGCCCCCCCAAAATGACAGACAGAACAGTGGAACAAAGGAGCAATAAATGATGTGCTCTGTAGCCTTCAGTGTGTGATGGTGCAGAAGAATCTGACTTCCGTTTGGTTATCTGAGATGGAGAATAAAATGTCCTTTATCATCACAAAAACATTCTAGTTGTGCATTTCCTCCACAGTGGAGCTCTACAACTGCATCAAAACTGCTTCTGGACACACACACACAGGGTTTCCTTAATTTCCACTTTAGGTGAAATGATAATTTTTTTTGATACCCTGCCATGGGGGAATCCTATCCTATCTTTCTGGCCCCTGAAATCGAGAGGGTGACCAAAACAATGATGGCATCTAAGCTTCTCCTGTTTCCTTGCGAGCACTTGTGTCTGCAAATATGGTTTTAAAAATGGAGCATCAATCATATCTTCACGGTTCCCATCTTGGCTTTTTGGGGGGTCACATCCTGCATCCATTTTCATTTCAAAGAAATGACCATCAGCTCAGAAGAAGGAAGCTCCAAAACTCAATGGAGAAGATCTACATAGAAGACCTAAGAAGTTATTTATTTATTTTTATTTCTCAATTGCTTACAAGATAATAGGTATAAGTAAAAGCATAGTTATGAATACATGGATACATATAAAATATATATATAAAAGAAACAATAGGACAGGGACCGTAGGCACATTGGTGTGCTTATTCTTAAGAAAGGGGTGAAGTCAAGAGTAGACAGTCTAAGGTTAAAGTTTTTGGGGTTTGGGGAAGAAACCACAGAGTCAGGTAGAGCATTCCAGACATTGACCACTCTGTGGCTGAAGTCGTATTTCCTGCAATCAAGTTTGGTACGGTTAACCTTGAGTTTGTATCTATTGTGTGCTCTGGTGTTGTTATGTTTGAAGCTGAAGTATTCATTGACAGGTAAGACATCGCAATGTATGATTTTATATACTAAGATCAGACCGAAGGTGGCATAGTTCTAGATTTTCTAGGTCTAGAGTTTTGAGTCTGGTGGCATAAGGTATTCTGCAACAAGTAGAGGAGCGGAGAACTCTTCTTGTGAAATATTTCTGGACTTTCTCAACTGTGTTAGTATCAGATACCTAAGTTCTTAGGACGCCTACAGTACTATCTCAACTGACAAACTTTTTCAGATGTGGACTATAAAGTTAATCTGCTGATCCAGCAAGAGTTGGGTTTTCTCCAATTGGAAGAGGCTCTATAGATCTGTAGATTATCTAAGGCTTTGATGCTCTTGAGATGCTATTGGGCCTCTTCAGCTCCCAAGGGAGTGTTCCACTGGAAGCATCTTTGGAGTTATGGAGTCTCCAAATGGAAAAGGATCCAAGATTTGAATCTGTAATCACTGGGAATAGAAAGTTATGGTTTGGTGTAGACTTCATGACATGACCTGGTCCTCTTTTAGGAGAAGAAATTACAAAAAGAGAACTTGAAATATTACAGTGAAATTAGGAGGACATGTCTGACCTGGATGTAGATTTGAAGGGTTTGCTTAGGAACACCTTGGGTAGAAGAAGATTACTTTTCCCAAAATAGTTTAACAGATCTTGAGTAGATCCCCAGATCAACACTGCAGATGGAACAATATCTTTTCCTATTCAGAAGGACAATAGATCGGTTTGTTCTTTAGTGTAATCTATTGTTAACACTCCTCATCTCTCTATACAGGTAGTCCTTGATTTATGACCAGTCACTTACTGATTATTCAAAGTTATGACAGAGCCCCCAAAACAGTACTTGCAACCATTGTTTAGTGACTGTTCTAAGTTACACCAGTACTGAAAAAAGTGACTTGTGACCATTTTTCACACTTACAACTGTTGTAGTAGCTCCATGGTCATGTGATCAAAATTGAGATACTTGGTAACTGACTCATACTTATGACGGTTGCAGTGTCCGGGGGTGTGTGTCACATGATCCTCTTTTGCAATCTTCTGATGAGTAAAGTCACTTCCCAACGGTCTGACTAAAGCAGAGGTCTCCAAACTTGGTCACTTTAAGACTTGTGGACTTCAACTCCCAGAATTCTCCAGCCAGCTGAAGTCCACAAGTCTCAAAGTTGCCAAGTTTGGGGACCCGTGGACTAACGTAACAACTGCAATGATTCACTTAATTACTGTGGTGAGAAAGGTGAAAACATGCAAAACTCGACAAAGCTCAAGCAATAGCACGTTCTGCACATGTTCAGGGAAACTATTTTGCAAGATGACCTCAACCTGAAACGGACTTTTCATGCCAGCCTAACGCCAGATGTATATCTTATGTGGTTATTTCTATGAAACTGGTGTGGGTGTTGGTTTGAGTTTTTTGAATGCAAAGGGTTCCTTGCACAAGACTGGGCAAGAGGTTATGATTGCCATTAAGATAAGTTGCATGCCAACAACAAACACCAAAATGCCAACGTTCACAGTGTTGGTGCATTTTTTATTTTTTTTATTTTTTAATTCTGCAGACAGAATTCACTGTGGCTGTAACATGTGGCGGACATTAAACAAGGCACAGTTTCAAGTGTAGCATGGGGGAAGCGCATTTTGACTTTTCTGAACCTTTTCTGCAAATATCTTTGAAAAGCCTCAATAAGTGATGACAGGCGGTTTTGGGAAGAAAAAGAGGGGGGAAAAAAATCTTCCAGGGAGATTTTGTTTAGACAGAAAGAGACCTTGAGTTCAAATCCTGTTTTAGGCATAAAAGCCAGATGGCTTTTCAATCAATCATTAGGGGATTGGGAATTTTAGACCTGCATTAGGCATGAAACCCAGCTTGGGCCAATCAGCAGGAGGCGGTGAGTTCTAATTCCACCTTATGAATTGTGGGAAACCAGCCACCCCAGAAGAATGAAACATTTGGGGGAGTATTAAAAGAAACAGAACATTAAATTTCTCCAAACATGCTATTAAAGACAGAAACAGACTCAGCCTTTCTCAACAGACCCCTAGCAGATATTTTGTGCCCATTAGGAAAAAATGGGCCAGACAGACTCTCTATAAAATAAAAACACCTTCAGCTCCAGATTGATGGGATTAAGAAGAACAAGACGTGACCATTTAGGACATAATCGGATTAACCCACTACCATTTAGCACAAGACAGAGTTCACAACATTGCACAATCTCCTAAGGGTATTTCAGGACCTATATAAAAATCCTGGCACTCATCTAGTAAGAGCTCAACTGAACCAGACCACAAACCTTGGTGGTTCCGTTCACCAATAAATGGTCCCTTTCTTTCCGATCCGCCTTCATTTCCAGCGTCTTTCTCCCAGCTTGGAATTGAACCAGATGGATTTTTTTTTCCCCAACAGAACAGAAACCAGCTGGGTGACTTTGGACTCTCAGCCCAGCCCACTTCACAGGCTTGTTGTTGTGGGGAAAATAGGAGGAGGAAGAAGGAGTGTTGGATATGTTCGAGTTATTTAAAAAATAATAATAAAGGCCGGATATAAATCATCCCATCCCATCAAATTGAATAAATAAATGTATTTTTTAATGTGCTTGGCAAACGGCACACTTGTTTCGCAGCATCTTGCAGTCACATGATTTTAAACTGTTTTTCCTAGTTTCTAGTTTTTATTTCTAACTCCTCGTCAACACCCCCCCTCCCCATCCCAGTGGATATACTGCAGTCATTTAATGACCACTGCATTTATTTAATGACCGCAGTGTTGGATTAATGACTGCCACAAAAAAGGTTGGGTCATAAAATCAAAGAGAGGTCAGGCAATTACCCACTTAAGTACTGCTATGTTTTATGACGGTAATTCCAGGCTCAATTCCGGTCATAAGTCGAGGACTACCAGTACAGATCAATTTCTGTGAATTTTGTACATTTTATACAGTTCAATGGCAAAACCCTATTTGCAATCTGACTTGTTTTTATTTATTTATCTCTCCACAAAAGCCTGAAGTAAAATAATTTTTTGTTGCTTAAGATCACGGAGTGTCTTTGGGGAGAGCCAGGACAATAAGTAAATACACCATAATTTCCAATAATTTTGGATATAAATTGCCCAGCTGAAAATTGTGGCAATAGGCAATTTTGGAAACTGGTTTGAACAACCCTCTGAAGTGGAAGAAACTAGAGCTAGTCCTCAACTTACAACCACAATGGGGATCAGCATTTCAGTTGCTAAGCAAGATGGTTGTAATGCAAATGGTGCCGGATTTTACGACCTGCTAGGTGTCAAGGAACTGTTTCACACATCAGTTTCCCATTGCATGTTATTCCTCTATAGCACGGGTGTCAAACTTGCTGTGTCACGTTGCCTCCACTTCATGGAACTGGGATTGGTGAGGCACATGATGTGTTTGGCCCGCAGCCTGCCAGTTTGACATCCCTGCTCTGTAGAAACACTGAAAATACATTTGGTGCATAGCCCAGATGACAATTCAAGTTGAAAAAGATTACTTTGAGAAGAACCACAACAAAAGAAATGCTATTGATTCTTTATTGATAGAAAATTGAGTGTCGTCCCAGTTGACATCTCATCTCTGAATTCGTTTGATCTCTGAAACAATCTGTTCACTTTCCACCAAGAATATCTAATCCAGCTGGTTCATCAATACAAAGGTAAAAATCAGTATAAATTGTTATTATTCCTTTATAAGAAACCCCAACATTTATCTACAGATGGTAAATCTCATATTGGCAAGAATCTTTTTTCCCCTGGAACAGACCATAACATTTCAAAAAGTTCCTTTTTTTAAAAAAAAAAAGTCCAAAATATCCAGTGGCTGAAAATTCCAAAAATTAGCTGATTGAGAGAAATGTACCTTATTTTTTGTTAGTTATTTCTCAGCCTATGAAGATTTCTGCATCTGTTTCATGGGCTTCCTTAAAAATTCCGCATTTTACAATTTACATAATTTTGTATTTTTAAATGTAGGTTGATGGATCACATAATTTTCTACAGAGAGGCGGTTGCAGATCTTAAAATTTTGGTAAATGACAAAGTTAAAAATGCACAGACACCACGAGGTAAACACGTAAAGAATAATTGAAAAAGGGGTTTTGCAAAACAAAAGGGACTGTAACTGTTTGAATAAAATTCACCCAACCTTCTAAACTTTGTGGCATGATGTTTGCAGGTAGTCCTTGACTTACGATCACAACTGAGCCCAAAATTTCTGTTGTTAAGCAAGACATTTGTTGACTGAATTTTGCTCCATTTTATGACCCTTCTTGTCACAGTTATTAAGTAAGTCACTGGAGTTGTTAATTTAGCAACATGGCTGTAAAGCAAATCTGGCCTGCCCATTGACTTTGCTTGTCAGAAAGTGACAAAAAGTGATCACATGACCCCAGGATGCTGCAACAGTCATAAGTACATGCCAGTTGCCAAGCGTCTGAAGTTTGATCATGTGAGCATGGGGACGTTGCAACAGTTAAGTGTGAATAATGGTCACAAGTCACTTTTTTCAGTGCTGTTGTAACTTTGATTATTAAACGAACGGTTGTAAGTCAAGGATTACCCATATTCAAGGCAAAAAGGCTTGCCGTAATGAAAATGACAAATGTTGGGTGATCTTCAGAAGGACCCCATCTTTGGTTGGAGAAGACTTTCCCAGCAAGTTGAGAACGCTCTACTCTCCATTTATGGTTCAGATAAATGTGTCAATGAAGGATGAATTATGAAGAATTATTCACAATGCATTTAAACTCATCCATAAATTGGTATTGTTTTTAATCTGTTCAGAATTTGCCCGACCAGATGATATTTTAAGGACAACGTCAAAAATAATTGGAGATATTATTTGTAAGAGCCGGCTATAAGAAAACTTATTTATCCAATGCAATCTTCATTTTAATAAAGGAAACGTATCAAGAAAGATTGGAGAGAACAAGTATTCGCTCAACATTTTGGCACCAACCCTTGTGCTCTGGAATTGGCAAGAAATTAGCAAAAATCAAAATACAAACCAAAGGTCCCTTAAGTGAATTTATTGTCTGCATTTAAGCTGATGGTAGTATCACTTCTGTCAGTGGGAGTAAGATGGATTCAATAAAATAATTCTCATAACTCCTGCAATAGAATACAAGTAGTCCTTGACTTATGACCACAAATGAGCCCAAAGTTTCTGTCGCTAAGTGAATTTTGCCTCATTCTATGATCTTTCTTGCCATCACTCTTAAGTGAATCACTGCAGTTGTTAAATTAGTAACACTTTTGTTAAGCGAATCTGACTTCCCCGCTGTCTTTGCTCGTCATAAGGTCGCAAAAGAGGACTGCGTGACTCCAGAACACTCACTAAATGTGAACCAGGTGCCAAGTATCCAAATTTTGATCATATGACCTCGGCGATGTAGCAATGGGCGTAACTGGGAAAAATGGGTCATGAGCCACTTTTTTCAGTGCCGCTGTAACTTTGAATGGTCACTAAATAAGCCGTTGTAAGTCAAGGACTACTTGTGCTATATCTCATTAAATCTCTTCAGAAGTTGCAAAATAAATGAATTGGAATTGTTAAATTCTGAATTGCCTTTTTTGGTAAATTTTTTAAAAAGGCAGTTTCCTATCACTGTTTCAAGAGAAAGTAACCATGATTTAATAATCTCGTCTCACTAAACGTTGTTCTGGTTCTACTGCACCTCAATGCCTTACAATGGAATGGTGTGCTTTTTTTAAAAAAATACAAAACGGAAAAAAAAAATACAAATCAAAGATTACATTCTATAGATTGTACTGACAGAAGTGTTCCCTTGCAAAAGATCGATTTCATGGCACATCAGCGTTTTCTAGGATTTTATTTTTTAATTGTAGTTTCTCCATTTGTATTCTCATTTCCCCCTCCCATAAAGGCACTGATTGTTGCTGAGGTCGATGGTAATTTTTTTTTAAAAAAAATGTTCATCATGGTTAAGAGATCTGGCCTGAATTTCTCATTAACTTTGGGAAGGATCGTCCTTCTTGATGCGGAACGTGACCGTCTCTCCCACAGCAGTGCTGTAGCTTCGGGTGGACACTTCGGTTTTGAAATTGGATGCGCCACTCTCTGGGGACAGCTGGACCTGCGTGCAGAAAGTTGGCCGGTGGGAGTCGCCAATCTGAAAAGAGACGTTGGTAGGATCTCTAGGTTGCATCTCGGTCACTCTGGACGCCGACATGAAGATACTTCCAGGTTGATGGCCTTCAAAATTGCTGAAGAAGGTTTGGCTGGGTTTAGAAGACACAAGTCTTCCGACATTCAGTAATACTGGTTTCCCAATGGTGGGTTTGTTGATCTCGGTCTGGAGAACGGCTATCTCGCAAGGTTTATCTTCTTCGGAATTAAGACGGCTGCACCTGTAAGTCTCTCCTTCTTCAGGGACATAATCTTCAAGGTCCTCCAAAGTTAATGCTTTCCCATTCCGGGTAAGGATTTTGACTTCACGGTTGCCAAGATCAGAGAGGTCTCCCCGATCGGGGTAATCTACTGTCACTTTTTTATCTGGAAGAGTCTCGTCTTCTGGAGAGGATTCCTCCACAACATAGTCCTCAACTTGGGGGAGCTGAAGGCCCGCCTGAGATGTTTCAACCGTGGTAGTCCCAGATGAGTCAGTCCAGCTCCTGGATTCATGAAGATGTGCCTTTCCTTCTAGCTCCACGCGAGAACTTTCGTTTTGGTTACCCGATGGCCCTGAAGATCTTTGAACATCTTGGGAGATGGGAGATTCGACCTGCTCGACTCTTTTGTTGTTGGAATTATTCACGTTTGGGTCATCTTCAGAAGAAGGCCTGGATCTTGTGGTGGGCCAAGGATAACCTGACGTAAATTCCTCCTTCTCTGGTCGCGCAGGAGATGCGCCTCTCTTCCTTGACATCAGGGTTGGTTTCTGCACATTAAACTCAATGATTTCTTCCACTTCTACCCATTTACGCTGTTCTTCCAGAGGGGTTTCTATACTGATACTCCTGCCTGGAGCTCCTTGCCTCTCCTGAGGGTCCCTCACAAAAACAGTAGGAATGGCGGTCTTCCCCACTCCTTCGGGATCGTGCCTCGGACCGGGTTGCCTAATCTTGCTGATGTAAATTGGCTCTGATGTTGCAAACTCTGAGCCCGGAGATCGAGGAGCGTAGCTGGAAGATGGACGGGCAGGAGATGGCTTTCTTTTGGTTCTCGGGTTTTTCACAACGGTAGTGATGGTTTCCTCTCTGATGGTGAAAATGTTGGAATTGGGGTTGGGTGAGAAAGGTCGGTAGAAGAGAGTACTTGTAGCTCAGATTTGAACTGAGGGCATCCTTGTCTCTCTGAGCTTGGGGATGTTTTGCAGACTTCTCATGACCTGAAGAGGAAGAGGACTGTGGGGTTCTTGGTGCTCTCTGAGCTCACTTGTTTTCTTACAGACGTTTCATGACCAAACCAGGTAATATCACCAGTGCTAGGAGCCAGAACCCCAGTCCCTTCTAGCACTGATGATTTTACCTAGTTTGCTCATGAAAGGTATGTAAGAAAACAAGTGAGCCCAGAGAGCACCAAGGACCCACAGTCATTGTCTTCCTCCTCCTCTTCCTCCTTCTATTTTTCCTCCTACTTTTCCTCCTCCTTGTCCTCCTCCTCCTCCTCCTCCTCCTCCTCCTCCTCCTCCTCTTTTTCCTATTACTTTTCCTCCTTATCCTTGTCCTCCTCTTCCTCCTCCTCCTCCTTCTATTTTTCCTCCTCTTTTTCCTCCTCCTCCTCCTCCTCCTTTTCCTCCTTGTTGCCGTCATCGTCCTCCTCGTCTCCACAATCCCTCTTCCTTCTAGCACTAATGACGTTCCCTAGAAGGGTCATGTAACGTCTGCAAGAAAACTACCGAGCCCAGAGAGGATCAAGGATCCTACCCTTTAAAATGTTCCCTGATTCCCAAACCATGGGAATGCATATTACATCACAGGTTAATGTAAAAATGAAGCACAGCAGGGTTAGTTTTGTGAGCTCTGGGGGCATGCAAAAATTAATGTTTGAAAGGATTTTTTTTTTATTCTCACCACTCCATTTTGGAAATCTCAATTCCCTTTCCCTGAAATTTTTTTCTATATAGAAAAAATAAACCTTCCTGAACTATTTTAACAGTTAGAAGAGAATATTTTAAGCTCAGGATTGAACTGTGGAGTCTTTGGTGCTCTTTGAACTTGATTGTTTTCTTGCAGTCGTTTCATGACCTAATTAAGTTGCATCCTCAGTGATAGACTAATGACGTTACCTAGTTTGTCATGAACAGTCTGCAAGAAAACAACCCAGTTCACATTTCAATAGAGTATTTTTTCTAAATTGGAGGCAGGAAGAAGGAAAAATTATATAATTCCTCAAGTCTCATATAGACAGTGGTGGTATTCTCCTGGTTCAGCCCGGTTCGCGCGAACTGGTAATAAAAAATGCTATTGTTTGGCCGAACCAGCAATAAAAAAACAGCTACTGGTTCGGCTGAACTGGTATTTCTTTCTTTCTTTCTTTTTTCCTCCTGACAATCAGCTGTTCCAACAATCAGCTGTTCCAACGATCAGCTGTGCTGGGATCCCCCTCACTGTCTTATGTGCATGCCCCTCCCTCTGCTCCGTTTTTTTGCCTCCTAGGCCTTAGGGGAGCAAAAACGGAAGCAAAAAAATGGAGTGGGGGGGGTTGCTACAAAAAAAGAGAGAAGAAGTCACGCCCACCCAGTCACATGGCCACGCATACCTAGCCATGCCCACCTAGCCACGCTCAGAGAACCGGTAGTAAAAATATCTGCATCTCACCCCAGCATACAGACTATTTGGGGCTCGAGTTTAGAAAACAACCTGAAGAAGTCTTGCTGTAAGGAGGAGTCCTCGACTTATGAACCCCAATTAAGTACAAAATTCCTACTACCAAGTGAGACAGTTGTTAAGTGAATTTTACCCCTTTTTGACTACCTATCTTGCCACAGTTGTTAAATGAATCACTGCAGTTGTTAAGTTAATAACACAGTTGTTAACCTGGCTTCCTCACTGACTGTTTGTTAGGTGACAAAAGGGATCACATGACCTTGGGACACTGCAACCATCATAAATACGAGTCAGTTGCCAAGCATCTGAATTTTGGTCACGTGACTATGGGGATGCTGTGTTGGTTGTCGGTGCGAAAAACGGTCTTAAGTCACTTTTTCGGTGCCGTTGTAAATTTTGCTTATACGCTGCAGCTCAAAATATTCTCAACAAAAAGGGGATATCCTTTTTGCAATCAAATTTTAAAAAGCAGCAGGGAACCATATGCAGTTGGAATATGGCATTATTTAGTTAGCAACCTAAGCAAAAGAAGCATCAAGACTGAGAATGAGAGGTTCAAACAATCCTTGTTGAAAGTTAGTTGTGATGAAGACACCGACCTGATCTTCCTCCTATCTTAACCCTAAGAACAATTCCAGAATTTCTTTGCTTCCAATGAATTTGCCAGCACGACAAGAAAAGGACAGATTGTGTTAATAGCTGTATCCGAGGTTTTGACATCTGGAGGTTAGGGTCAGAAGAAGTCAAGAGGGCAAACTGCAACTATATTTTTGGTGCATGTCTTAAAGACTGTATGCTAATAGACGCCATCTTGACTCCCAGATACAAGATGGTCCTGGATTGTCTTCTTCCAGGAAGGAAGGAAAAATAGGAAGGAAGGGAGGAATGGAGGAAGGAAAGAAGGAAAAAGTGGAGGGAGGAAAGGAAGGAAGGAAAGAATGAACAAGGAAGGAAGGAAAGAAGGAAAAGTGGAGGAAGGATGGAAGGAAGGAAGGAAAAAGTAGAAGGAGGAAAGAAAGAAGAAAATAATGAAAGAATGAATGAATGAGAAAGGAAGGAAGGAAGGAAAAAATGGAGGGAGAGAAGGAAGGAAGGAAGGAAGGAAGGAAGGAAGGAAGGAAGGAAGGAAGG